TCCGTCGCAGTTAATTTTAATTACCCACCCCCCCCCCACCCCACCACACACACACACTTTCTTCTAGTGGAGTATGGGAGTCCTTGCTGCTTCCCAGTTTTAGCCTCTGGGGTGGTGGCTATGGAGGCCAGTTCTCCTGAGTGAAACACAATACAACTCAGTTGAGAGTAAGGTGGTGGCATTTTGCTGCTGTCAATGGTGTGATCAATGATCTGGTGTACAATCCCAGATGCTGCCAGTAGTTGGTTGTAGCACTGTACCATATCTATATACATATCTATATATATTGCAGTTTTGCCCCTCCAGCTGAGATATTCCTCCTTCCTACCATCATCCGGATGTTTGGGTCAGGTGTTAGTTGGAAATGGTCAGGCCATGTAGGTCCCCTCCCATGTGTTTGGCTGGTTCTCTCCTCCTACTGTGAACTGGATGATAAATTCCCAATGCTACCGGGGTTTGAACTGGAAATGTTACCCCAAATTGATGTCCCTCTTCATCTTTTTATCATCTGCTGGATGTTGGTTCCCAGTGGATTTGGTGTTATTTGAAGTTGGAAGAAACGCATGATTACTCACATGTGTCAGGCTGCCTTCCCTGTTTCTACCACGTACTGGATGTAACATTCTAATTGCCACCAGATTTTGGACTGGAGATGTATGCCTCCTGAGCTCTCCTTACTTCCTACCATCTGCTGGTTGTGTTGGTGGTGTGCACGTGCGGAGTCGAGTTCATGGTAAGGACGCTCGTATTCCCATCCAGTACCCTTTTTGAGGTGAAAGGTAGAGGACCCTCTTCTTACTGCGGACCTGATGTACAATTCCAGATGCTGCCAGGTGTTGGTTGAGGTCAAACTCCCATTTACAGTCTGTCATGCCTTAGCCACTCAATACCGAGGGGCTCCTCCATGTTTCTTCCTTTTAGGTTTTGGTTACACATTCCTGAAGGGTGAATAGTATACCTGTCTCAGAAGAGGTGCAGTCTCCCACTTGCGTGATGTTTTTCATTCCTTATCACACTTCATGGTCTTTCTTTGGCTGTTTTCTCAAAGATGATCATATTCTCACCGGCCCTCCACCAGTCTGAGATTCTAGAGGTAAGATTTTGTATCGGAAGTTAACATTTTCCTCAACTGTAAATGTATTTCTGATAGATACTTCTGGTGTGAATTGGTTCAAATAATTATGACCAATCTCGAAGTGATTAACAAGTGCATGATTATAGAGGGTACTAGTTACGATGGGGGATAGTGTCGCACTCCTGTTGGTGGAGGGATGCTGCATGATTATTTACATGTTGATAAGCAGAAAGAAGTGGAAGTTGAAAGGCTAGCGGAGAGTGAAAAAATTGCACTGATAGAGGGCAATACTAGTCAAGAAAGCTTTTTATGACGGGAGATAAGTATCTATCGGAAATACATTTTCAGTTTAGGAAAATGTTAACTAGCTAAAGTTGTCTCCTTGTGATTTGTGGCTCAAAATTAGATATCACTCTACACTACCTCCACTGTATACTGACAAACATGTTGCAATAGGACCCTACAGCTGGAAGAAAAGAGAGCCTTTGCATTTGCCAGTACTCAAAACTCCTCCAGCATATAACCATAATCATAAATTCATTTTACAAGTTTTTTTTTAGGTTATGTAGTAAAGTGCATAAAAAAGGCTAGTTTTGGATATTATTTATGTAACCCCAATTGAAGTATACCTAGGATTTCATTCACCTACTTTATATTGGGAATACTTTGTGTTTTCTATCACTAGTCTGCTTGGAGGAATTAGGTTTGCAAATAATCAGTGTAGTTTAAAGCTTATTTTTCTTTTC